TCTTGAACCTTCATAGGAATATCGTTCTTTAGATTGGGAAAGTTTTCTTCTATAATTTTGTTGAATATATTTTCTGGGCCTTTGATCTGCAGTTCTTCTCCTTCTTCAAACCCTATTATTCTTAAATTTGGTTTTTATTATTGTGTCCCAGATTTCCTGAATGTTTTGTGAAGAGAATTTGTTGGATTTGCCGTTTTCTTTGACCAGAGCATTTATTTTCTCTATGGTATCTTCAGAATCTGAGATTCGTTCTTCTATCTCTTGTATCCTATTGGTTATGCTTGATTCTGTAGTCTCCGTTCATTTACCTAGGTTTTCCATATCCAGCCAGTTCTCGGTTTGTGTTTTCTTCATTGCCTCCATTTCAGTTTTCAATTCTTGAACTGTTTCCTTTACCTGTTTGATTGTTTTTTCTTTGTTTCTCAGGGTATCATTCATGGATTTACTTATTTCTTCAAACTTTTTGTTATATTTCTCATCCATTTCTATACTCATTTCTTCAAACTTTTTGTTATATTTCTCACCCAATTCTTTAAGGGAGTTATTCATATCCTGTTTAAGGGACTCTATTGCTTTCATAATGGCACTTTTTTCACTTCTTCTGGGTTAAGTTGTTCAAGTCCTTCTATTGTAGGGTCCTTGGGATCTGGTGTTTTCATGTTGTTTTTCAGATTGTTGGATGAGGTCTTGCCTTGGCGTCTGCCCATCTCTTCCTTCAAATGCTCTCTATTGGAAGTTCTGTTACCGGGTCAGGTTCCCTTCTTGGGCAGGGACTTCACTGACAGAATGCTCACCTTTCCTCAGGCAGGCTATTGAAGCACAGGCACTCGCTCTCTCCGGGATGCGCTTACAATGCAGGCCCAGCTAGCAAGGCAGCTGAGCTGGGAAAATTTTATGGCCCCAGGGGTAAGGGAGAAATATAGGAATTTGTATCTGGATGGGAGCTGGGATGGCAGACGGGAGGGGGGAGCCAGCACTGCAGTGTGACCTGGGAGTCTATGGGCTCAGGGAAAGCCCGAGCTCCTCCTCACCGGGACCCTGCCACGGGCTGAAGCAAACTCACCCCTCCAATGAATTTCTGACTTTTAGATTAGGAAGATATCTGATTCTGGTCCTTTTTTAAAATAATAGTTGAGTTTTAATTATGAATTTAACCTTGTGGCTTGTCTTAAGTCAAACTGGAGACCTTCTGCCTTCTGCCTGGACATTTATACCTTCCCATAAATTTGGAAAGTTTTCTGTTATAGCTTCAAAGTTTTCATTCTCTGTTCCTTTACAAAGGAAATAGGCCTAGCTTTTCAGGTGAGTCATTCAATAGCCTAGGACTACAGTCTATAACAGACTTGGAGACTCATATCACAGTTACTGGCTTTGGCCTCATAGGGGCCTGCTTAGTGCTGAGTTCTCTGGGGCAGCACCAGCATTGAGGTCGAAGGTCAAACCTGGTTCTTGGCTTCTCTGTCATCCCTTAGTTGGAAGTTTTCTCTCTCTCTATGCTGTACTGCTGGGGTTAGGGATTATTTAAAGTGGCCAAGCTCTATATATCTTTTCTTATTTCTTGGACCATCTAGGTGGTTCCCTTAGTCGTTAAGAAGTTAGTTTCATGCATACAGATGTTCAGTCTCATGTTGGGGATGGCTGGGTTGGGTATAATTGCAGGATTGCTTTCAAATCAGCTTTTTCGTGTAGTAAAAATACATTTTAAAATGTATTCTTTGTTTTTCTAGAATAGTAAACATGCTCTATTTTGTTTTGGCCCACATTGTCTACCTCCACCGAGACACAGTCTCTTGGTGATTTTAACACCTGTGAGGGGGAAAATTGTTGTTGTTCTCTTTAATAGAGGGGTGCCCCTGGGTAGAAAAAGTGAGGAGAGAGAAAGGGGAGGCACCAACTAGAGAACAATAAATAGCAATCCCGGGCAGGAAAGCATGGTTTAGAATAGCATGCAGCCCAAACCTTCCTATGCTGGCTGAAGGATGGAATGACTGGGACCTTTCTTCATGGAAGTTCAATGGAACAGAGATCCTGTAGGACATTTCCTATCAGCTTTCAAGGAAGGAGGCCCAGGGGAGAGCCCTGCAGATAAAGACTGGGCAGTGCTGATGGGAGACCTTTAGTGATGCTTGGGGCGAGACAGACATGGAAGGATGACCTGAGGCATCCAGGAGTGGACAACAGGGCAGACACTAGGTGTGGCAAGGAGACTTCCCCAGGTCAGGTGACTCTCTCCTCTTCACCTCCTTAGTCTTATGCTCAGAGTACATCTCTGCCTCCCCTTGGCCCTGAACCTGAAATAAAGTGACTTTTCAAGTACAGAGGGGCTGTGAGGTCACCCTCAATGCTGCTGACCCCAGTTTGAGCTCCAGGGCTCACTTGGTGACAGGAGAGAAGTTACTCCCACAGATGTTCTCTGACTGCCACACGTGTTGTGGTTAACATGTGCTAAGTAAAGTAAACACATAATCAATCAATCAATGAAAAAATATAGAGGGAGAAAAGTATGAAAAATAGGAAAGTAAACAAATAGTGGGAACTAGGCAAGGCACAGAGAGCCTGATAGAGGAAAATTGTCAGAATGGGCTGTGAGAAATGGGGAAACTAGCATGTCACTTCTGCTAATCAGGATAAGATGTCCCCTCAGTGAAATGACCCTGTAATCCCCTCAGATCATCAGGACCTCACTTATCTTGAGTTTCACTTTAAAAGATCTGCTACTTCCTAAACACACATCTCCGGCCCAGGCCTCCCCGCTTGGTTCATTTTCTCAAGTGCCTAGAAACCTTCCAAAGACCCAACAGACGTCTCTATGTGGAGACTGTTTTGGTATCTTTTGTTCAATAATATAACAGAAGCACGCGCACACACACACTAGTGGTTTAGAGCTTCTCTCACCTCATTTGGCCCTGTTTTAATTACAATTTTTACCCTTCTCCAGCCTGCCTGTGTGTGCATGCCCAGCCTAATCACCCTATGTTGGACCCCATCACACTCACTTAAACTAGAGGAACAGGCTTTTGTCTGATTTTGCCCCTCCCATGTTGTTCCCTCCAAATTTCTTGTCTTCTGCCAAAGAAAAATCTTCCGAGAATGAATTGGAATGGAGACATGGCTCAGATTATGATGACTGGCTGCTCTGGCAGAGGACCCAGAATTGGTTCCTAGCAACCACAACCATCTCTAACTCCAGTTCCAGGAAATCTGACACCCTTTTCTGACCTCTTCAGAAACTGCATGCACAAACCACCACACAAGAAAAACACTCACCTACATAAAGCAAAAATAAAATAGGTGCAAACCAGTTCGTGTGGCTTTTAGAGCCCAGTGCCTTCTGCAGCTCTCAGCACTCCACACTGTCAGAGTGACAATGAAGGTTGACTCCCACACTCCTCTCCCCATCACTGGTCTCTTACCCTAGCACCACATCCCACCACACCTACAATCTGTAGGCTCCTGCCTTTGCTATGCCCTGTCCCTGCGGCTTCTGCTGGTTCAGGAAACACTGTGATTTGGGGAAACAGTTGGATATAATCTCTGAAGTTTGAAAACTCATATCCCAGAGTTCAACAATGACATTTCTCAGCAGAGGAGAAAAGAAATGTGTGTTAATCAGAAGACACAGGAAAGGTTGAGTGTGATACATGCACTCGGGAGGAGGAAGAGGAATAGCAGATCAGGAGTTCTAGGTTATCCTTGGCTAAGTAATTTGAGGCAAGCCTTGGCTACAATGCAACCCTGTCTCAAAACAAATGACTCAAGACACAAATAAGAAAGAATTCTCTCAACAGGGGTTATGTTAAAAAACAAATAATTAAAGCATAGTAAGTCAGCATATTTCTTTCATTTGTTTGTTTTTTGTTTCTTTTTTCAAGATAGGGTTTCTCTGTGTATCCCTGACTGGCTGTCCTGGAACTTACTTTGAAACCAGGGTGAACGCAAACTCAAAGCTCCACCAGCCTCTGCCTCCTAAGCACTGGAATCAAAGGCATGAACCACCACTACCAGCCTAAGTCAGCGTATTTCTATAATAACAAAAATACTAATACAGAAGACTCTCACAAACATATTAATACGCATATGTAACTTATATATACACACATGTACATATATCAATCTGGGAGTATTTGACTTCTTTGAGAACAGAGATAAGTTAATAGTTATAATTTCTTTTATATTGGTTATATAAGCAGCAAAATTAACTTAGGCCTTGAAACTGGAGATGGTAATTGACTTTGAGATTTACTGTAGGAACAGTGGAATGTTTCACCTAGAGGCCTCTGGGGTGTCGGTCATCTGCTTTTCTGATCCAAGTGATAGTTTCTCTTTGCAATCATTTAAATACCACTTTTATATATAAATGTTAATCTGCAGTTAAAACTTTAATTTTGTCTTCATTTATTTTTTTGAAAGGGTCTTGCTATGTAGCCCAGGTTGCCCTTGAACTTAACATTCCCCCCCTCCCCGCTCCCTGTCTTAGCATTCAAAGTGCCGGGTTTGCAGGTGTGTACAGCCTTGCCTGGTTACTTTTTAATCTTTAAAGTATCAAAACCAACTATCTATCCAAAGATTAAATGGGTAGAAGGAAATGGAAGAACAGAGTGGGAGGGAGATTTTAGGGATAGGGTTAATCATGTATTCAACTCTAGAGAGATAAATGAAAATTCTTTGAGTGTATATGTGTGTGTTTGTGTGCATACACATGCACTGGTTTGCATGTGCATGTGTTTGTATGTGTGCTGAGGTCAGAGGTCAACCTCTGGTTGTGTTGTGCTTTGTAGCTGGACCTCGCTGACTAGTCTAGACTGCCTGTCTGGCCAGTGATGCCCTGGGACCCACCTGTCTCTCTCTCCAGAGTGCTGGGATTGCAAATGGATGCCATGTTAGGTGTCACTTTTACGTGGATCCTGGGAATCGAACTTACGCTTGCACAGCAAACACTTTGCAGCCTGAACTGACTCCTCAATCCCTGAAAATAACTTCTTCATTGTAATTTGGACCAGGAGCAGAGCTACCCAGCCATGGAATCAAAATTCGTCCTTGTTCTGTGAATCTGGTAAACATAAAGCAAGAAAATTCTTCAGTTTTCCTGAGTGGTGAACATCAGACCCACACAAGGACCGACCACAATCAGGCCTCTGAGGTAATAGGTAAGGAGGACGGACAGAATTGCTAGAGCTTCCCAGGCAAGAGGCTTAGACAAGTCATCAGGGTCCTTTGGGGGCAGTGCAGGTAGCCAGGTGGAGGCAGGAAGAGAAAAAGGCCCACCAACGCCAACCTTCACCTTAGCAGAAGGAGGTGGGGAAAATTAAAGGCAGAAATGAGAAATGGAGGCTAATAAATGCTGAGGCCAGACTTTCTTTTCTAAATTAAGAGAAGGCAGGTGTATGTGGTGGTGTGTGGGGGGGGAGAGTTGGCAGGAGTTAAGAAGAGAGAAAAAATATCAGGGAACCAAAATATGTGTGAGAAGAGGTGGGCAGGGAAGCCTACCAAGGACCAAGAGGTCCATCGCTGGGTGGAGATGAAGAACAGGATGACAAACAGAGCCAAGAAGAAAGCTAAGGAGCAAAAAAAGAGTGAAAAAGAGGTAGGTGAGGGTGTGGGAAAGTGAGGACCAGAATGAGGGTACAGACAAGATGCTTGTCAGTTGCTAGGAGGGACTATCTCTATGACAGCTTGGTCAGTTGTTGGTTCACAGCCTTAAAGGAACGGTGTACAGCCTGGAGTCAACTATTCAGGTCTTCTTAGTGTTCACACTCAGGTGTTCCCTACCGTGTGTGCCTACTGTCACCCCTAAGGTGTTGCGGGATATTTGACCACACTGGGTGAAGGTGTGTCACTGTTTTACCTCACCTGTGTAGGGCACCTTCAGATTGATTCAATAAAGAGCTGAATGGTCAATAACTAGGTGGGAGACAATAGGCAGTACTTCTGGGCTGAGATGGAAACTCAGGGAAGAATCTCAGAGATGGGGATTTGCCAGCCAGATACAGAGGAAGTTGAAAGTGCTGTACTGGGGAAAGGCAACGAGCCATGTGGCAGAATATAGATTAAACAGGTTAAAGTTTTAAGAGCTCGTTGGGAACAAGCTTAAGCTAAGGACAAGCTTTCATAATTAATAGGAAGTCTCTGTATTATTATTTGGGAACTGGCAGTCCAAAAAAGTTCAACTACACTAAGATGCTTAAGGAGCTTTTCTTTCTTTCCTTCGTGCAGACCTTACCAGAGATAATTCTGAGGATGAAAATAGCTGCTCAGAGGAATCCCCCTCAGTCACCTGCCAGCCTAGTAAGGAAGCCCAGAGAGCAAGACAGGCTGTGGCATCTGCTCTCAAGCTACTGTTTTATGATGGGTTTTGTTCTGAGTCTGTTCTGTATGATGGCTCCTTGAAACCTGTTCTGTCCATTGAATTTCATTTCTTTCTTTTGGAAAATGCAGGGAAATCATTGCATACACTTCAGGGGATTAATCTTATCCTATTAGTAGATAGAGTAATCCATTTTTAACACAACAGAAACAGTCATGTGTGTGTGTGTGTGTGTGTGTGCATATGTGTGCTTATGTACACTTGGGCATATGTTCATGTGTACAAGTACTGGTGTGCATGATCATGGAGTTCAGAAGACAATCCCAGGTGTTCATCCTTACCTTCTACTTTGTTTGAGATCTAACCTCTTCTTCATTGACATGTGTGCCAGGTTAGCTGGACCAAAGTCTTCCATGCATTCTGTCTTGGCTACCTGGCCTGCTGTATGAACCCTAGGATTACTGTCCATTCTACAGTGTCTGACTGCACATCTTTGGTTCAGGTCTTCATGCTTGTACAAGAACTTTAACCACTGAGCCATTCCTCCAGCCTCAATGAGTTTGTTTCTTAAACTAATTATCATGTTTACTAAGTGTTAGACTCATCCAATGATTTCTATAGAAAGCAAAAGGCTTTCCACTCCTTTTGGAAGATCATCATTCCTCTAAGCAGAAACTTAGACAATAGTCCAAAAGCAAATCATCCAGCTATGTGGTTAAGTAGACAGAAATAGAGGCTCAACATAAAACTTTCTGAAACCCAAAGTACTGTTCCCAACAAAATTATTCATCAAGTCATGGCTTATGGAGCGATTTTTCAAAAGGCTTTACAAATAACGTGCACTTCTTTCTTTATAACATCATTAAAGAACAGCTAGAACAGACATAGACATCCTTTTCTCCTAGTTGAAAAAAACCAGTCACAGATGATATGTGTCTATGTAGTCTCCAAAGTGTAATGGACTGTGTCATCCTGTGTACTGAGTAGTTTCTTTTCTAAACTGTGGGATAGGAAGGTTTCTGGGTGTGATGTCATGAACCTGTAAGCCAGCACTCTGGGGGTGGAGCCAGGAGGATCAGGGGCTCAAGGTCATTCTCAGCTGCACAGGATTCTCTCTCACACACAAACACAGAAACACACACACATGTAGAGAGGAGGGAGAAGAGAGAGAGAGAGAGAGAGAGAGAGAGAGAGAGAGAGAGAGACTAGAAAGGCTTGATTATCTCAGCTCTATCTGGGTTGTTGGAAGATTAAGATTCTATAGTGTGCCCCTTTGTGATTCTTTTCCTATATCCAGAAGACTTTAGGCATGTGCTTCCTCAGGGAAAACACACTAGGACAAAACCTGAGGTCAAATGAAAATGCTTCTTGGTCTTAAGGTTACAAAAGAGCAAAGTTTGAAATGTTGCTTTCATTTTAGTTGCTCATGTGTCTTGTGTTTGTTTGTTTTTGTTTTTATTTGTGGGTTTTTTTGTTTGTTTTTTGAGACAAGGTTTCTCTGTAGGTTTGGAGCCTGATGTAGGAGGGTCATCTGTCTATGTGTTACTTTCATTGGTTAATAAAGAAACTGCCTTGGCTTTTGATAGAACAGGAGCTTAATAGGTGGAGTAGACAGAAAAGGATGCTGGGAGAAAGAAATTCTGTTCCCAGACTGTCGGTACTGGGAACCAAACCTGAATTCTCTGCAGAAGCAGTAAGTGCTTTTAACTGCTGAGCCATCTCTGCAGTCCTTATGCTGTGGGACAATGGTCTGTACCCTGTCACTTGTATTATCGTTAATAAAATGCTGATTGACCAGTAGCCAGGCAGGAAGTAGAGGCGGGACAATGAGAACAAGAGAACTCTGGAAAGAGGGAAGTGTAAGTCCATCCCATCCTCAGAGGAAGCAAGATGCGACTGCCTCGCCAAAAAGGTACCAAGCCACGTAGCTAACTCAGACAAGAATTATGGGCTAATATAAGTTATCAGAATTAATAAGAAGAGCCAATCAGTTTATAATTGATGTAGATATCTGTGTGATTCTTTGGGACTGAATGACTGCAGGACCGGGCAGGACAGAAACCTCAGACAACACCCTTAGGTCAATTTTATCTGCTTGATATGTAAATAGCACAAATTATTATTCGTAGACTTTCTAAGCTAATGACAAATGACAGTGTTATCAATAAACAGAAGAATTCAATTCTTATTATACTCTATAAACTATAGAGCCACTGCAGAAACTAAATGCACTATTTCAACTCTTTAGTATTAATAGGTGCAATCTCATGGAGTAAAGACAGTGCCCTTTTACTAGTTTGTTTGTTTGTTTATTTATTTATTTTTGCTATATTTCATTTTATCTCTTAGCTGGGCTTGTCCAGATAAATCATCCCCTGGTGAGTTTGGATTTTCTGATAAGACGAGAGAAGAAGAATGCAAAAAGTGGTACCCTAGAGTTGAAGAGTCAAGCCTTATGGAGAATGCTTGGATTACAATTCGAACCATTGCTGTTCATAGTTCATATGAATCATCCCATAGTCCAGAAGTTGTAATTCTAGCCAATTTCTGGTACAATCTAGTGTCTGGAGCATGTGACTTCACAGGCCCCCTTTCCCTCATATGATTAAGTCATGAATATTGATCACTGTACCAAATAGTAGAATTATCTGGAATCCCCTGGTTGTGAACAAGAAATCAATTTAGTAGGAAATTCCCTAATAAGAAATTTTAGAATTACCCTGAATCTGCTTAAAAAGCCTGGCCTCCATCCATGAACATAGTTCTGCCTTTCTAAATTACCAGAACAGTAGGTTGGTGAAACCCTGTTTTGATGTCTAAGGCAGATGCAATTCACTGTCAAGGGGACATCTGAAATCACTTGGCCTTTTTCTTCCAAAGACTTGACTTTCTACTCACCCCCTCCCCACCCCCGCTCATCTTTTTGAATTTCCATTATCTCTTGTGTTTCTTGTAGGGAAACTTGGAAAGTCTTATGTCAAAGAGCCAGAAGAGATAGTTCAGTTGGTAAGGTTCTTGACAACAAGCATGAAAACATGAGCTGGATCTCTACAATCCATGGTGACTCACACATGCTATCCCAGAGCTAGAGAGACTCATTGGCTAGACAGTGTAGCTAAATTTGTGAGTTCTAATGCCTCCCACCATGAGAGACCTTCTCTCAAAAAACAAGGTGAATGTCTCTTTAAGAATAGCACCTGATACTGACCTCTGACTTCTATAACTACACACACGTGTGAATACACACACACACACACACACACACACACACACACACACACACAAAGAGACCTTGAAAATCTTATGTTGAACAATTGCCATTGATCTGATACTTTCCACATTTCTATGAAAAATAATATTTTGCTTTTGAACCATAGACACAGAGTGTATTTGTAGTCTAAAACCTAAAACACATTTCTACTTTTAAAAGACACATGAAAGCCAGGCGGTGGTAACACACACCTTTTATTCCAGTACTTTGGGAGATAAAGGCAGGCAGATCTCTATGAGTTTGAAGCCAGCTTGGTCTACAAGGCTAGTTCCAGGACAGGCTCCTGTAAAAGGAGCAGTGGGCTGCTTTTCATCCCACCTGGCTCCTGGCCACCTGGCTAGCTTATTCCTGAAATAATTACATGGAAACTGTATTCATTTAAACACTGCGTGGCCCATTATATCTAGCCTCTTATTGGCTAACTCTTACACATTGATTAACCCATTTCTAATAATGTGTGTAGCACCATGAGGTGGTGGCTTACCGGGAAAGATTCAGCATGTCTGACCTGGCAGCTGGCTCCATGGCATCTGCCTGACTCTGCTTAGGCAGAGTCAAAATTAGGACAGTCAAAAGACAAAATTTAAATTCAGGGGCAGATGGTATTTACTTGATTGGCCAAAATTTAAAAATAAAACAACCTTCATTTCTATAATACTTCAAAGAAATTTAATGTATGGTTTTTGAGAAATACTTTCAAAGATACCTACCACTGCCAGCATTACAGTCTGATACTTTTAATAAGAGTTACCCTACACTGTTCATATACCATCTTCTGGCATTACATCTGATACTGTTAATCATAATTATTATAATGGTCAAGGAAGTTTAGTTACTAGTTACTATCAATTCACTTATATATAAGCCAAGTGTGCTCACACTTTCCCAGTTTTTTGAAACTCTGATGTGTTGATTTTGGTCTTTCCTCAACATAAAATTTCTATGACACTTAACAAACCACAGATTGATGACACTTTGAGAGCAAAGCAGAAGTGGACAGTCCCCTCCAGTGCTGCCACCACTGAACGGACTGCTCTGTCATGCTGCCTGGCTGAACACTGACAAGGACACCTACCTACATGAGTTTAAAAATTGATCTGCACAATTTAAAAAAGAAATTTAAAAAATTATATACAACAAATTGGTTTTTAAAAATACAAAAATAACATCTGTCACTTCTGTCATGCTGACAACTTGACATATATATGCATGCAGAAAAAGTTCCAACTCGGTCATCTGAACGGCTGTGCTCTAATATGATGAACAAACTGCCACTATGTTCACACTGATGGAAGGTGTATTCAAAATATTTCATATACTAAATACTACAATAGTCTCTGCACGTATAAATGCTGGTTATAATAGTTTCTGCTTTGATTAAAAGTGTCTTAAGCTAACATTAAGTGCACTAAAATCCATAACAGTTCAGAAATCTATGACCTTACAATAAAGAAATCCAAAATGTACAACTATAAAACAAGAAACAATTACTGCCATGCAAGACTTAAACTGAAAACTGCAAGGAAATGCAATTTAAAACAGCAAGCTCAAATATATTTAACACTCAAAGGGTCAGCAGCGAGTTCTGCCAACAATAGACTTAAAAAAGAAAATACATTCTCTTTGCTGGTATAAATCATATCTTCAAATCTGAGAGCAAGCCGTCTGTCCTCTAGTTTAAGAGATTAACTCTTTTACAGTTGTTTTAATGAAATCTTTCCTCCCAGTTAAATCGTAAGCGGGATAGTTTTCATATACCTCTTTGCAAGTCTGCTTCATTGTGACTTCTTCCAAGATAGCATCAGCCAGTAATTTCTTCACTGTTTCCTTTAATTCTTCATCTGTAGGTGTTTTTTTTTCAATTTTTTAATTAATGGTTCATCATCAGAACTATCTTCAGATTCAGATTCTTTTTTGGAACTGTTTGATTCTTCTTGGTGGTGCTGCTATCTGCCTTCTTGACATTAGCACGTTAGCACTTTTTACAGACTTGTTACCTTCAGCAGCAGCTTTTTGTTTTGCTGTTTCTTTTATAGCTGTCTTTTTTGGTGATTGTTCCTCTTCACTTTCTTTCTCTTCATCTTCTGAAGATTCTTCCTTATTTTTCTTCTTATTTCAGGACATTTGGTTTGCTTTGACTTCCTTGTTGTTTCGTTCCCTTTTACTACCTTTGCTTGAAGATTTTTTGGATTTTGGCAATGGTTTGCCAGAAGGCTTTGGATGCATTAAGAAATTCAAGATCCTCTTCACTAGTTTGCTGTTCACGCCTGATCTCTCTACATCAAGAACCTCACAAATGCTCTTTAACATGGCATTTCTAAACTTTTTCAGCATTTCTTCCTTCTTTTTATACTGGGTACTGTCGTTTTCAAATGGAAAGCCACTGAACTGACCCACATTCTTCTTTAATGAGGACACTGTGCCTGATCTGTTGAAAAGCAGTTTGTGTAGATTTCTAAGTTCATCTGTGTTTTCTTACTCAGAAAGAAAAGTATCCTTTCAATTTCACAGTTTCTGACCCTTCCCTTGAGCAATTGTAAATGGCTCTCTTTGTAAGGAAGATACTTGCATTGTCAATCTTTCTACTTTCTTCTTTTCTCTCTTGCCTGCCACAATGAGACTCTTTTCTTTCTCTTCCTCCCCCCCCCCCCCCACCGCCACTTCTCCCTGTGGTCCCTGGGGCCTGGCATTTAGGTAAGCCGGCTGCTGTGCTGGGTGATCCTCTGCCTCCACAGCAGGGGCCTCAGCCTACATGCTGCTGGGGACCGTGGGTGCACACCAGGAGGCCGTGCTTGGCTCCTCAGAATCTTTAAATTTTGTTTTTAAAGCAACTACAGATATCCCTGTTTAAAACATGGTTAATTTGTTGGCATATGTTAAATATATATATATGATTTTAACGAAGAAAGTAGTATCTAGTCATCACAGAACCTTAGCAGGGAGCCGTGGTAACTAGGTTGTTGTTCATTTATACTTGAGAAAACTATAGCTACTGGTGCTTGAGAGCCATGGACAGAGGACCACAAAGAATTAAAGCACAATCCAGGGTAAATTCAGTCTCAGACTAGGGCCTCTGGAACCAGGTTCATTGGAAGAGAAGCATTCCTTTATACTGTCCTGCGAACACAGACTGATTTGATGCAGAGCCACAAAATTAATTTTGAGTACAAATAATGGTGTTATTGCTGGTTGTTTTGTTTATTACTCTTTATACTCTTTTGGATTTCTTGATTTTTTTTACTCTTTATTCTTGGGTCTTTTGGGGGGAACTTCCACCCAGCTCCAAAACAAATCACACACACAGTGGCTTATTATTAATTATAAATACCCAGCCTTAGCTTGGCTTGTTTCTTGCCAGCTTTTCTTAAATTAACCTGCCTACCTTTGGCCTGTGGACATTTATCTTTTTCCTACTTCTGTAGTCTTACTTTCACACTTATTGCATGGTTGGCTGAGGGGCTGGGGAGGTGGGGGGCTGGGTAACTGTCTGCTAGCATCTTCCTCTCCTCCTTCTCTTGCTCCTTCTCCTTCCTCTTCCCAGATTTCTCCTTCTATTTATTCTCCCTGCCTGCCAGCCCCACCTATCCTTTCTCCTGCCTCGCTCTCAAGTGTTTTAGGCAGGCAGAGTAACACAGCTTCGCAGGGTTAACAAATGTAACATAAAAGAATGCAACACATCTTTGCATCATTAAACAAATGCTCCACAGCATAAACAATTGTTACACATCTTATGTTACACATAATTTTCCATAACATAATAGTTTTTCTCTTTTTTATCTTACAGAGCCTATAAATTCCAGAAATCCTCCTACATCCATAAATATACAAAGGAAAAGAGGTAAGAAAAATGAGGACTCGTTAAGATAATTGAACTGTGTGTTCAACAAGAGATTCACTCTTCTTGGCCCTATTCTTCAAAGTACTATACAAGTCTGGTTTTGATTTTAGGTAATTCCTGCTTTAACTTCTAAGTTGATCAGGCAGGCTAACTGCCGTACTGGGCGAATCCAAAGAAGTTAGTGATTTCATTCATATATTAAAAGTCTTTCTAATATTTAGTAGAAGTTTAATTTTTAGTATACATTTTTAGGTGGAAGAGTTGCCTGGCCCTGTTCCTAGTGATCATCAGAGAAATAGAAGACCCACCATCTTTTTTTTTTAACACTCCCATAATTACCCCAAGAGAAAGGCATTGCTGTCAAAACATGTTGACCAAGATACAAACGTCATCGGAGACCCCAAAAGGAACGAGTAGAAGAAAAGTGTGGTGTGAAAATTTCCTCACCTTCAGGGTTAGCTCATAAGATAAAATAGTAAACCTGAGGTAGGATCATGAGCTCCAAGGGTAGGGACATTCTTGTACTGGGATTTCAGAGCTTTGCAAATTTTTCCTAGCTTCCTTTTTCTAGACTTTTCTTCTTTCCCAGTTCCCCAATTGATATTGTCAGCTAGCCACATTTCTACAGTGAGGAGCTGAACATAACACACTCTTTCTGCCTCTGTCTCTCTCTCTCTGTCTGTCTCTTTGTCTCTATCTCTTTGTGTGTGTGTGTGTGTGTGTGTGTGTGTATGTGTGTGTACCTTCTGTGTAGCTGAGAGATCAACCTCAGGTAATATGCTTCAGGTATCATTTCTCAGGTGTGACCCTGGTTATTTATGAGACAGGGTCTCCCACTGGCTGGAGCTCACCAAGCAGGCTGGGCCAGCTGGTCATGAGCCCAGGGACCTGCCTGTCTCCATCTCCCCAGCACTGCAGTTACAAGTGCATGCCACCATTTTCTTTTTAAACGGGGATTCTGAATCAAAGTCACCGAGTCATCTGAGTCATTCCTCAGCTCCATGATCAGAACTCTTCTGAATCCAGAAAGTAACCAGCTGGTGGTGGTGTAGACCTTTAATGCCAGCACTGGAGGCAGCGGCAGGTGGATCTCTGTGAGTTTTAGGCCAGCCTGGTCTACAGAGTAAGTTCCAGGACAGACGGGGCTACACAGAGGAACCTTGTCTCAGAAATAAACAAACAAAAACAAAACAAAAAAAAGGGGGGGGAAAGAAAATGATTCTATCAGAATCCTGGAGCTGCGTGAAAAGCATAAGACGGGCTTGTTTGCACCCGGGACATCAGAGTCTCAAGCTCTCTGCTGTGGTTGCTTCTGACCACACAGCACAGTACAACAGTCCCTCTGGAAGACCATTATCTCGTCTGGATCTTTTTTAAATAAAAAGAAATATGTAATGTCTCAAAAAAAAATCCAGGAGAAGTCTCACTCGGTACCTGTGGCTCCTCTCAACACTTCTTACATCACCCCTACTCTAAACCTCCCCCTCCCAGGGACAGGGCCTTGCTTCCCTTCCCCCAGCTTCTGATCCTATATATAAGATCAGCCATTTTGATCGCCTGGTCTCTATCTCTCCTGGTCTCTTGGCCACTGGCTGTCTCCACTCCTGGATCTCCCCTCCCCTCACCCCCAGCTCCATGACCTGATTCAGTCTGTTGACCTGGTTCAGCCTGGACCCTTCCTGATGTTTGTGGCTGTTCTCTTCCTGTAGGCAGAGTTTCTTTGTGTCTCAGGAAATAATCATTCAGAAACTTATTATTATTTATAAATGCTCGGGTGATAGCTCAGGTTGGTTACTAGCTAATTCTTACATTTTAAGTTAGTCTGTAATTCTTATATACCCTTTGCCACGTGGCTGTACCTTCTTTACATGCAGCATGTTCATCTTGCTTGCCTCTCTGTCTCCCTGACTTTTGAGACTCCACCCTTCTTCCTCCCACCATCCTCTGTCTGGCTGTCCTGCCTATACGTCCTGACTAGCTACCAGTCAGTAACTCCTTTATTAAACCAATCAGAAGGTGCCTTGGCAAAGACACATCTTCACAGTGTACAAAAAAGATTATTTCAGAGCGTCTTCCTCACATTTACAATAAACCTCCTCCTCAACCACACCTAGGAGCAGCCATGTCCTCACTTATTCATTCAAAAATCATTGTGAATTGGGGCTTAACCAGATCACTGGGGTTGAGTGACAGTGTTCTTCTTCTTACATATGCCCAGACTCCTCAGCCCCCAGGTATTGAATTCGTGGGATGATTTGCAGTGAGGATTGAATGACTGTGGGTCTCCATCCTTTTTGGAAAAAAAGAAACAGAAATGATCATGAATACATCTGTAGTCCAAATACTGTCCATATAAGTAGATATACTCAATACTGACTACTTAAGATGTCATGGAATCCCTGTGGCCATTTTGGTTTTACATTGCTGGTTTTCTTTTCCCTTTTCTTTCCAGATATGTCTGATACTAAGAGCTCAAGCACCAGGAAAAGACAAAGAAGGACAAGTAAGAACAATTTAAAATTCTAGATGTAGCAAATACTTGTCTCTGTAACTAAAGCCTAGACACCTTTTCAAGCAAAATAGTTTTAGCCTGGATGGTGGATCACTCACGTGATGCTTTTGGTTCAAGTGAGTTGGAGCCATTGACTATGGCACACAGGTCTCAAAAGCAGTCAACAGTACGAGTTTACCTTTCACCCAAGTAAAGAGGATGAAGTTGATCCTGGGTGGAGAGGTCACTTCATTTCACATGATCATCTAGGGCCCTGAGATCTTAAAGACTGGCTTTGTCACCCACCATGCCCAAGACTCCATAGCAAATAGAAATGGAAGCAGATGGTACACAAATAACCTCAGAAGGGGCATGAGGTCTAAGAAGTGATCACAGAAGAGAATGGCCACCAGGGCAAAGTTGGCCCCAGCCCCAGCGTTGGGGACAGTTTCTGGAGCAAATTTGACCAACAGCTCAGATAAAGGCAAGGTTGACCTACTGAGAGCTTTGTTGCTATGCCTCCCAAATAAACTGCAGGTCTGTCCTACCTTCTCACACGGGCTGCAGGATTACCCAACCCTACCTGTCCTCTCCCTCACAGACTGGCAGGACTGTCCCTCCCCAGGTATCCTTCTATTTGGCAGGACTGAGCCTTCCTACACACTCATACAGGCTGCTGTTTGCGTGTGTGTCTTCCTCTGATATGTGCAGATACCAGGAGTTGATGTTAAATATCATTGTCTATCTCTCTGCCTCATTTTGAGACAAAGGTATCACTTTGAACCTGGAGCTCACGGATACAATTAGGGTGGCTGATGAGTGGGCTTCAGGGACCTTCCTGTCTCTATCTCCTCAGCTTTGCGATCATAGATGCTCACTGATGCACCCAGGTTTTTATACAGCACTGAGGGTCTGAACTCAGGTCCTTATGCTTAGTGGCAAATACAGACTAGAACTGTTGAGGACTTTTCCTTCTTCATGCAGGAATATGCAGTAGCCCTTCTTCTGAACTGAGTGCTGGGGAGGAATCTCAGGAATACCTAAGATGTGGATCAGGTGTAGAAGATCAGGACGCCCAGCCTTGGCCCTCAGGATGCCAGCAATCTGATGACTGAAGGCCACTGTGACTAGACACATGTCATTCTCAGTGTTATGGCTGCTGTGTGTCCAGCTATCCTGGGAGCTCCTTCTTAATTTTAGAAAGTGTAGGAAGCAGGAAGTGACAATGAACTCATGTTTAACTGGTTGAATCCTATCAACTAAATTTACATGCTTATATATTGCTAATGTGGGAGAAATAAATAGCAGAATAATGATATAATAATATAATATAATATAATAATAATGATATTTTTACACCCACTGACATACCTACTGTGGTGATTTAAATAGGAATGACCCCCATAGGGTCCTATATTTGAACATTTGGTTACTGCCTACTTAACTAAGTTTAGGAGGTATGGCCCTGTTGGAGGGGGTGTGGCCTTGTGGACTTTGGTGTTTCAAATGATCAAGCCAAGCCCAGTATTATCTCTTCCTGCTGCCTGCTGATTCAGATGTTAAACTCTCAGCTACTTCTCCAGCACCATATCTTCTTGTGTGCTGCCATGCTTTCTGCCATGATGATAACAAACTAAACCTCTGAATCTGTAAGTCAGTCCCCAATTAAATGTTCTTCATTATAAAAGTTGCCAAGGTCATGGTGTCTCTTCACAGCAATAGAACCTTGACTGAGATACCTAGTAACACAAAGATCCTATATACCTGGGATTATTTGTAATTGTGAAAGACTCAAAATACAACTAGCCTAGCATTGTAATTATAGACACAAATAAAAATCTCAGACCAGCCACCATCAAATTTATCATAGTTTTTGATAGATGTTCTTTACCACCTAGTTAGATTATATTGTATTATTTCAATGTATTTTTAGCAAGGTCATAACAGCCTTGAAATTTGGGCAGGCTAACTCTTCCTATTCCCATTAGTAAAAGAAAGTAATGTATAAATGTGTAAGAGTTTAAAAAAGGGAATACTGAGATCCAGCAACCCATGTGTTTCACAATCAGTGACTATTGTGTATAACAGGAGGAAGAAAGCTGTGTTTCCATGATCAGAATTCAAAGAGGTAGTCAGGACCACAGACCATTCAGATGAATGTATCAGAACCTAACATAACTAAGAAAGCATATTTAATAACATTATACACACACACACACACACACACACACACACACACACATATATATATATATATATATATATGGATAAGGAGATGGCTCAGTGTATTGAAGAGCTTTCTGCTCAACTGTGAGAACTGGTGTTCAGATTATCATCACCAACAGAAAACCCAGGTGTGTGTGGCAGTTCACCTGTAACCCCACTGTAAGGGAGGCAGGGATGGGATTCCCTGGACAAGATAGCCAGCCTGACTAGTCAAATCAGGAAAGTTCCTGGGGTCATTGAGAGACCCTACCTCAATAAATAATGTGGAGTGTAGTACAAATAATAAAAACCCAGAGTCAAATATTGGGGTTCAACCCCAAAACCAGAAAAACAAAGCAGCCAAGTCACTAGAAAAGTTTTTCTCTACCAAGGCTGGGCAACTGCAGACTAAGCCAACTAAGCAAACTAAGCCTCTCTCTCCTCCCATTTTATATTCTCTCTAGTGCTGGAATTAAAAGCATATGACTCCCTAGTACTGGGATTAGAGGTGTGAGGCACCAACACCTGGATTTGTTTCTGCATTGATCTTGTGTAGCCTAGAGGGGCCTTGATCTCATAAAGATCAATCTGCCTCTGTCTCTCAAACACTGGGATTAAAGGTGTGTGCCACCACCGCCTCAACTCTAGAGGCTTAACTTTACCCTTCTGATCTTTATTTACCTATTAGATTAATTTATCATTTATTAAAACATAAATAAAATATTACTATAGAGGAGAATGTTGAGACACACTAATGTCAGCTTCTGGCCTCCTTGTACATGGATATATAAATATACCACACACACACACACACGGCTAGGGACAAATTTCAGGTGATAAAACGCTGAAAGGTTCTGAAGTTGATCCCCAAAACCTTTTTTGTCAAAAGAGAGAGAGGGGGGGAGGGAGAGAGAGAGAGAGAGAGAGAGAGAGAGAGAGAGAGAGAGAGAGAAGTATACTGCATGCTTGTAATGCCAGCTCAGAGGAAGTAGAAACAGGAGGATCCCTGGGGTCATTGACAAACGAGGCTCGCCTACATGACAAGTCCAAGACAAGGGAAAGATGCCATTCCAATAGGAGGAGTGTGACTGCAAAGTAGCACCAAGGTTGTCCCCTGGGGTCAACATGCAATCGCATGTATATCCCCTGCACACATGCACCTGCATATGTGGACGTGCACTCACACAGATCCATATTATATATATTACATAAAATACTGTAACATATACAAATGTACTATGCACATATGTGTATGGAGAGTGTAAGAGAGAGAGACTAATCATGACAGTGAACACTACAACTGACCACCTCAATAACCATGGTGGTCACTGTGGTTGTCATGGTGCTCAGTTGTATTGTTCACTATAGTGATCAGTCATAGTGGTTACTGTGGTGGCCGTTGATATGGTCAGCTAGGTGCTCACTGTGAGGGTCACTAATAGTGGTCTCTGTGCTGGTCAGCTGCAGTGTTCACTGTGATGGCTGGACATAATCATCACTGTCATAGTCACTGATGTGGTCAGTTGTATTTTTCACTGTAATGATCAGCCACAGTGGTCACGGTGATGGTCACTTGTATTTTTCACTGAGGCTCAGCCATAGTGGTTACTATGGTGGTCAGTTGTTGCCGTCACTGTGGTGTGCAGTTGTAGTCATGCCTGTGAGTGGTGAGTTCAACCATAGTTGTCAATCTGTGAATTAATGAATGGAGTCAAAGGAGAGAAGACTGTCAAAAAGAAGGAACATAGGAAACTATTTTATACTAAATGTCCAGGAACGATTGACAGAGAAATAAAGGAGCAAATCAGAACATCACTGACAAAAAACACCACTGGAAACTGAACTTGGTAGTGTATGAGTTAATCAGGTGTTACTGGTTTTAAAGGCATAAAGGGGAGATCATGGAGATCAGCTGGGTTTGGCACTTTGAGAGGACAGGAGAGGCCACTGGTAAAGGTGTAGATTCAGCAGCAGTTGAAGACCCAGGACTGAAGGGGTCATGTAGAGAATTTGAGGCTTGGCACCATGAATACACACCAGGAGGGACTATTTGTGAAAGTGTAGCCCATTTACAGCAGAAGACCCCAGCATTATGGAGATGCCAGTACCATAGGATGATCACCAAGAACAGCAGCAGCAATGATGCAGAGCCAGCCAGGGCCCAGAAGACAAACTGTGTGTGCTGCACAGTGGAGACAAGGATGTGACTCAAGCCCCGTGGAGGAACCCAGAGATCAAAAGTGGATCCCAGGTGTTGGATATTGAGTTATTTACAGTTGGAGTTTGGTTTTACTTTGATCTGACTATGACTGTGCCCTCATTTCTTGGAGTGAGAAAGTATTTAACTTAATTTTGACTATTTACAGAAGCCCACAGTTGAGAAGTTTTGAGTTTCTAAAGAGACTGAACATTCAATGTACTTGAATTTGTGAAGAATAGAACTTTTAAAGTTATGTCTTAATGTACTATCCTGTAGATTAATGAGAAAGGAAAGATTGTATCTTAATCATGATGTATTTGTGTGTCAAGTTGAGAAGGGGTCAATTGTGCAGGGTACATTGCTGTTAACTTGACACAAGTTAAAGTCATCTAAGAGGAATGAATCTCAATTTCAAAAAAAATGCGTCCTTGGGTTCGAGCTATAGGCAAGCCTGTGGGGCATTTATTTTTAATTAGTGATTGAACGGTGATGACCCTGGCCATTGTGAGTGGTGCTGTTCCTGGGATGGTGGTCCTGGGTTCATTAGGAAACCAGGCTAAGCAATCCATGAGAAGCAGGATAGTAAACAGCGCTCCTCCGTGGCGTCTGCATATCCATTCTCCTGCTCCGGGTTCCCTGTTTGACTTTCTGTATTGACTTCCTTCCATGATGAACAGTGATGTGGAAGTGTAAGCCAAATAAACCATCCATCTCCACGTTCCTTTTGGTTATGGTGTTTCATCACAGCGATAGTAACCCTAACAAGGCAGAGATAGGAGTAGAAACAAAATCACCTCGACAATAAAAGATCCAGAACTATGAGCCTAGAGAAGCAGACAGAATAAGATATGTGCAGGAGATGGTAAAGAGCAGCATGAGAAATGTGGGCCACACAAGCTAGAGAGCACGCTGTGAGACAGGTGTTGGGTGGCGTGGTGTCCACAGCAAAGAGGAGAGGAAAGAAGTAATGAGGGGGGCGAGAGAAGTGACACCAAGGCATCTGGGGACAGAGGTGTGGCTTACAGTTGCCCCAGAGTTTCAGAGTAAATTTCTGAGTCACCAGAGTAGCCCCCACAACCACCCAGATGACAATAAGCATCACCCGGGCATTTCATCCACCCCTGGGGCTTAAGTCACCAGCCACAACCTAGCTGTCTTTAAATACAAGGTACATTTTCTGAATTCATTGCCTGGGCATTCTGGCCAAGGCACTGACTTTCCTTGAATGGTTCTCATGAACTTCCAACTACAAATTCAGCACTTCCAAAGTCAAGCATGTCATCTGGGCCCAGCATTGTTTTTTTTTATCACTATTATTTATTACATCTGTAAATTAGAGATTCTCACAATCATCTAGGAGTGACAGATATCCAGTGAGGACAACAAAAGAGAAATGTGACATAGACATGTAGAGAGCCACTAATGTAAGATCTTTGGAGGGGGCGAAATGAAAATTCTTTACAAGCAACAGTTAGAAGCAGAACTAGAAATGATACATATTTGTGGCACATGTTTCCTGAAGGGTGTGCTGAGAGCCTAGGAAGCAAGAATGAAAACTTGCAAACATCTAACATGGTCAACAAGTCTGCCCTGGGGTCTTAGAATGGAGGTGGCTTAGAAATAACACTGTGGCAAGTGACCGTAGTTCAAGGTGAACATCAGACTGGCTCATCCACAGAAAGTGAAATGACAATCACCCAGCTGCAGGGTATTATGAACCCAAAATCGATGCCCACTCCCTGCTTCACTTGGCTATGAGCAGGTCATATCAAGAACCAGATCCAGTGATTCAGTTCCCGAGACCAAGGTTAACAGCTGAGAATGATGGCACCCAACTGTGATCCCAGTGATGGGGAAGCAGGCACAGCAAGTCCCTGGGGCTGCTCACCAGATAGTCCATGCAGTTGCAGGCTCCAAGTTCAGCTAAGACCTTGACTTAGAAAATAAATTACATGAAAAGCAACAGAGGAAAGGACTGGATACAGACCAGGTCTCTACACACATACACATATGAGTATGTACACACAGTATCTCTTTCTCTTCTCTCTTTCTCTCTCTCTTACACACACACACACACACACACACACACACACACACATACACGCGCACACATGCATATACACACATACACACACACACACCAGACTTCCCAAGCAATGATACAAACTGTCATAATGCTTGTGACTTTTATGAGAGTTTACAGTTCTCTGACCACTGCTTTTGCTTTGTAGATACCACATATGCTGAGAACAACTCTACCTCAGGAAAGCATGGTCGAAAAATAAGTAAGCACAAATGGAATTTTCTTATCTTCATGTTACAAATGAAATCATCTTATGTTAAATGATATTATTATTTACTATACCTTTAGTAAGACAAAATGAATGTTTTTCAAAATGACAATTTCATTTTTACAAAGTATTATATTTTTATCATTTTTATTCTGCTTTTAAATTGCAACCTTTTAGAAGTATCTGATTTTGTTTTTGTTTACTATTTTCTCAGGGAAAAAGAGAGACAAAATTGGAAAATACGTAATTCGGAACATCAAAATGCCAATTCCCACAAGCTGGAAAAAAGGTTAAAAACAAAACATTTTCAATACTAAATTTTCATTTTTTAATTATATACTTCCAATAACAAATCTATTTCTCTAACTGCTCATTGTAGCCATGGTAACTGTTGGGAAACATACCCAATTTAGTCAGTTCCCAAAGTACCTTGGGGAAAGGGACAAAAGAAGACAGCCACATTAACAAGTGACTTAATACATCTATGGCTAGACAAGGTCACTATAGCCTCTGCTGAACTTTTGATGGCAGAATGAGTCATAAAGTAAACAGGAAAAACCCCTGTGAGTGACAAATGGTACAGCTGCCCCTCCTCGGGATCAACCCCATGAGGTCACTGCACAGACCTGAGTCAGTCATCTCTTCCCTTATGCTTCAGTTGGACTCATCTGTAAAGTTAAGTGGCATGTTAGATTGACTGTTGTCAAGGTCACCCCAGCTCTTGGGGTGGCTTCACAGTCTAACTCCCCATGCATCTCGGTAGGCACCATGGATAGCTGCCTCTCCAGTCTGGGGAGCATCTACCAAGGCTCCTGGGTAACTGGCTGGAAGGCAAGGTGGGGCAGCCAGTCCTGCTGTCGTCCATTCAGAGACCTGTACAGCTGCCTGAGTCAGCTCCTCAGATCCTCACCTTTG